CCAGTGTGAGAGAGAACTGTGCCCTGGGGTTTCCTGGTGTGGGTGAAAACTGTGCCCTAGGGGTGCCTGATGTGGGAGACCTTTCACACGTGGATCACCAGGCGTTTTTCCTGTGGTTTAGTAGCCAAGCACTTTGCAATAGTCTCACACGGGACCCCTAGTCACATCTGTGTTGCTGGGAGCCCACACCAGCCTGTACCTGCCTCCTGGATCCTCTTCCTGACACGTGACCACGTCTCCCAAGATGCCCTCTCTCTCTTCCAGAGTGGTACAGACACCCTTCACACAGTCCTCCGTTCACGCCCAGCCTGACTTGTGTCTCCACCTCTTCTCCACAGAAAGGAAGGAAGTCTGTGCTTCTGGATCCTTCCCAGGCGCCCAATGACACCTTGCTGCCGTGGCCCCAGCACCTCAACCCCAGTGGCCTGCGGAGGCAGAAGCGGGACTGGGTCATCCCCCCAATCAACGTCCCTGAGAACTCGCGGGGGCCCTTCCCCCAGCAGCTTGTGCGAGTAAGTGGGGTCCCCCAAGCGGGGCAGAAGACAAAGCTGTGGGCGGGAGCTGGGTGTCAGCCCTCCAACCTGTGAGTGGAGGAGCAAGGGAGGGCTCAGTCCCTGGTGAAGAGGGTGTAATGGGAACAGACAGCCATCGGAAGGGACATGTCCTGGGAGGCAGCAGGCCTTCCTGGGCACTCCCAGGGCCCCCCATGGTGCTCCGAATGTGCTGAGAGAGGCCTGTAGGAGGACACTCCCGGGTCCCCTCGTGGTGCTCCAAGTGTGCTGGGAGGCCTCTGGGCCATGGCTTTTGGCCTCTGGGCCATGGCTTTTGGCCTCTGGGTCGTGGCTTTTGGCCTCTGGGCCATGGCTTTTGGCCTCTGGGCCGTGGCTTTTGGCCTCTAGACTTTGGGTTTTGGCCTCTGGACTGTGGCTTTTGGCCTCTGGACTGTGGCTTTTGGCCTCTGGGCCATGGTTTTTGGCCTCTGAACATGCTTCTTTGGACATTTTCTTCACCTTCCGCCTGTTCCTGAGTGAGACGTGGGAGGAAGGGGTCACTGTACGAGGGTTATCCTTGAGGCACCAGACCATGTGTGACCCACTGTTGTGACCGGGAAGCATTCCGTGTGGCCCTCGCTGGTGAACGCATCAATGCCCCAGAAGGGAGAAGGTGTTACTACCCTGTGTCTTGGTGACGGGACGTCAGCCAGCAGTGTCCTCTGCCCTTTGAGACTATGGCCACCTGTCTGCACAACAGTGCGATTGATGTGATGTGAGAATCCCCTATCGTTCCCGCCCTTGTGAGAAACGCCCCCTCTGAAGGCCAGGGCCCCCCACAGTGATGGGGAGCATCTTTCCTTTGCATTCAATGCCGTGAAATGGGGATGAGTGTTTAAAATGTGGGTGAATGTGGAGGGTATTGTGCTGAGTGACCACGAAAGGACAAATACTGACGTGACCCCTATTATTAAAAGGGCAGATACTGCACACCACCGCTGTTGAAAAAAAGCTGGAGGATTTAAACAGAGGAGATCAATCTAGTGCGGTGACCAGGGAGGTGAAGGAAGGAGGGGCGAGTAGGGTGGAGAGGACGGCAGTATGAATGAGTGGACAGTCAGAGATCAGGTATTGTAATTCATGTTGGGGAATGAAATGAGCAAGTGAGAACACGATATGCTTTGTAAACTCAATGAAATTGCAATATTGTAAAAGATGAACCATATATGAGACCAGGGAGCTCTGATGGCTTGGTGGTAAGAAGTTACACTGCCAACCCAAAGGCACACGGTTCAAATCCTCCAGCTGCTCTGTGGTAGAAGAATGAACACTCTCCTCCCGTGTGATTTACTGCCTCTGAAAACCCGCTGGAGGGTCAGCTAGGAGTTGGTTCCCACGCAACAGTCACAAAAACATACATGACACCAAACAGTCTACTTTACCCAAAAGCAAACATGAGTCCGCAAAGAGAGAAAGACAAGTCAAGTCAAAGGAAATACGGAGAACGGAACCAGTGAAGATGGCGACACACTGTAAAAAGTGTAACCAACGGCACAGAGCAATTTGTGTGAAAACTGTTAACAGGAAGTCTAACTCACTGCATAAATTCTCAGCAAGATGCAATGAAGTAATACTTTTAGAAGGTTTTTGAATGCCCGTGTGGAGCAGAGCTGCCCACCACGCTCACTGTACCTCCGACACCCAGCTGGAGGGGTGCCCACAAACTTAACCCACGGCCCGCAAGTCCGTTCTGACTTGGAGTGACCCTCCAGGGGGGTTCTGAGGATGTAACTCTCTGTCCTGTTTTTGTTTTACTTGTATTTGCAGCAAAGTTTAGAAACCCAATCGTTCTCCATTGCATTCTCTCCGCTTGGTTTAGGAACACTGACGAGAACCCCCGTAGGAGCAGCACTTGTCCACGCCATCCCTGTGATCTTCTCTCCCGTTCTACCCCCGCTGCTGTCTAGGCTCCGTCCTGGGCGGGTGCTGCCGCTCTACCCACGTGTAGCTGATTATTCTGAGAAGTCAGTGCCCCCGGTGTTACTGTTATGAACACGTCGATTATCTGACTGACTGTTGAGCAGCCAGAGTGTTTTATTCCAGGTTCAGAGTGACTGAGAGCCGCAGCCCCAAGGCTGACATCTTAACTGAGAAGACTGCCTGTCTGTCTTCATGGAACTGCTATTGGGTTTGAACTGCCAACCTTTCGGTTAACAACCCACTCTGTTCTGTCACCAAAGCTCCTTGGAAGGGACAAGAGTCTCAGGGACTTGAGGAGTAAGCACAGAGCACCCCACCCGACCCCCAGGGACACAGGCACCATCCGCCCTCTCCTCACGGAGCTCACTGGGCCCAGTGTCACCACCAAGTCTGGTGACATTGCTGAACCACCTGTGTGCTCTGAGCTGAAGGTTGGGTTGGAGATTCACCGTAAACTGGAGCTCAGACTCTGCACGCAGCACTCAAGGACGCAAGTCACAGTCTTGTGTCCCCGTCACTTAACCCCATCCATGAGGAATGACCATTCTCTAGAGCTGCTTTAATGCGCAGACCACAGAGATTTCATCTCTCACTGACTAGGAAGCTAAAAGAAGAGCATAATCAGAGTCCCAGCTCTAAAGGAGGCGTTCTCTTTCTGTCTGCCCTGGGGAAATCTTCCCTCCCTTGAGCATCTGTGAACCCAGCGTTCCTCGCAGGTCTCCCTGTGTCCTCGGAGGTCTCCCTGTGTCCTCAGAGGTCTCCCTGTGTCATTGTCATTAATCTTCCTCAAGGTCTAGGAGGTTCTCAGGGAAGGGACCCAAGGTCCATTCCTGGCTCTTTGTTCTTGGTGGTAGTTAGCACCCTTCCCCACTCCCCCATCTTTCTCTGGTCTCTTGTCAGAGGAAAGGTGGCACAGGCCATGTCAGAGCCCCCTCTAGTCCTGCCTCACTGACATCTCAGAAGAGATGGCATCAGCCCACAAGGTGGACAGCTGCACAGAACCAAGAATCAGAACCAGCTGTGTCAACCCGTATGGAGTGGGGACACAACCTAGGGCATGGCAGACCCCGTCCACACGGGAGTCCACGATGCTGGTGACAGTGAGGATGTGGTTCTGTGGTAGCCAGACCCGCCACCTTTGAGATAGCTGCTGCGTCCAGCTGTCACTCACACTGTCACTCTTGGAAAATGGTTCTTGGAACGACTCATCTTTGCTTTCAGTGTAGTTTCTTCATTTACTTTTTTTGTTGGTTTGCTTACAGAGTTTGTATACATTGTGTTTCACACTATTCTCCGTTCATGTGGTGTTTCATACAATCATTCCCATGTATTATGTTTTATAAAATTAATCCCCACTGGACCTTGTCCATCATTACCTGTCTTTTCGCCTGGATCCCTCCCGTTTACTTACCCCTCCCTCCTTTTTGTTGTTAAGATTCACATAGATTACGTTCACGATTTGCAGTGCCTCAACCTGTGCTGTTCCATGAGCTTTTAAAGGGTTTTTACAATGCAGTGCGACCGTCTAATTGCAGAGACTTTCCCCCACCTAGCAGCAGGCGTGTTGCCAGCTCCCGCCCCTGAGCTGCCAGCAGCCAGGAGTCCTGTCTATGGACCCTCCCATTCTGGACAGAGTCGGCATATGTTCTTTTGCAATTGGCTTCTCTCACAGAGCACAATGCCAAGGATTCGTTTTCAACAGAGATAAGCTTGTTCCAAGTGGAGGCTCCCATGAGACTAGGCTTGGGGCTCGGAGGGGGGAGGGGGTGTCACCTGGACCTGATGCAGAGACAAGCGTCAGTCAGTGGAGGAGGCATGCTCACTGCACGGCTGCACGGCTGCACAACGACACGGCCGCATGACAACACGGCCGCATGACTGCACGGCTGCACAGCTGCATGGGCGGCGATGCCCACAGACCAAGAGCGATGCTTTCAAGACCAGTGGGGAGCAAGGAGACGCTCCGGCTGAAGAGCCTCAGGGCTGACGGCAAACGGGCAGCAGAGTGAGCTTTCCTTGTGCGACTCCTTGCTTATTTCGCGGGCTGTGTCTGGACCCAGAAGACACCTCTCCTGGACTGTTGTCCATCTCCTCGTTGGAGTGGGGTGCCTGAGAGTCCATTCCAACACCCGGCAGCCCCGTGCAGCCTAGCAGACTGCTGGGAGTTTCCTAGGCTGCAGTCTTAAGGAGGGAGCTTAGCGGGAGTGGCTGGCGGTTCAAACGCCAACCTTCAGTCAGCAGCCCCACACTCACCACTGCTCTCTGTTGGCCTCCAAAGCCCATTGTCATCAAGTCCCTTCTAGCTCGTTGAGACCCTGTGAGGGAGGAGAGAACTTCCCTCTGGGTTCCCAAGGCAGGAACCTTTACCAAAGCAGACCACCCGGCGCTCTCCTGAGGAGCGACTGTTCCTGTGGGTGCCCGGTGCCCTCAAGTTGGCTGTGACCGACAGCAGCCCTGGGAGCCACAGCTGTGAACCCCCATCCTGCTCCCCTCACCATCCAGTGCATGGTCACTGTGTCACTCCACCTCGTTGAGGGTCTTCCTCTCCTCTGTGCCTCCACCTTCCCCAGCTCCATGTCTTTCCCAGGACTGGCCCCTCCTGACAGCAGGTCCAAAGTTTGTGAGAGGAGTTTCATGATCCTGGTCTCTAAGGAGCATCCTGGCTTCATGTCCTTCAAGATAGATGTGTTTGTTCTTGGCGATCCACGGACCATCTCATACTTTTCTCCAAGACCACAAGTCAAAGACGTTGCTTCTTCTTCTTTCACCTGTATTCATTGTCCGACTTTCAGGAAGTAACTGAAAAGATGATGCTTGGAACAGGTACACCTTAGTGTTTAAACTGACATCATTGCTCATTAGCACTTTGGAGAGGTCCTTGACAGCAGATCTCCCCAGTGCAACACGTCTTGATTTCTTGACTGTTGTTACCATGGGTGTTGACTGTGGATCCAAGTAAAATTCAAGCACTCACAGCTTCAATCTTTTCTCCATCTATTATGATGTTGCCTATCAGCCCAGTGGGGAGGATTTTTGTTTTC